ACAACTCTATTGGACAAAAACCTACAGGTAGTGGAGATAAACAACTATATTGTAAAATTAATTTTCGATAGAACGAAAAAGACATATGATAAAATTGTAATCATAAAATATAACCCTAATCGAAATGCATACATTTATCTCATACACTATATGAGGATAATGNTATGATAAAATTGTAATCATAAAATATAACCCTAATCGAAATGCATACATTTATCTCATACACTATATGGGGATAATGAGAAGACGGATTAAGTAATACCGTCGAAGAGTAGTGGGTTCAAAAAATCTTTGGGGACCACAACATCAGGATAAATACAAACATAGAAGGGACCACATAATTAACCAAAAAGAATAAACACGAAACCTTAATTACTAATTGTATAAATAGTCAACAATGCTACGGTGTACAAGACATCCACTTTTCTGTAAGTACCAAGTGAAACTTGGGCAATGTCTTGTAAAGGCTTCAAGCCAAACTTTTGAGACCGATCTTCAACAATCCCAAACTTTTGAAAAAGTCATAATTTAACCTACAAAAAATTTTAACTTACACTTTAAAACATTACTCTTTTTAAAGGGTGAATTTTACTTTGCACCGTGAAAGATTTTAAATTTTTTATTTTATATCTTCAAAAATTAAAATTTTCACATTGCACTGTATACCCTTATGTTATTACAACGTGACATTTCTGTTAGTTTTTCGTTAGTATTAAAGAGTTGACTTTTGAAGGAAAAAAAAACGGAAGCTTATAAAATAGCTACAATACAACACTTTTAATACATTAAATATACAATATAAAAAATTTAATATTTAAAAATACAAAATAAAAAATTTAAAATCTTTCGACATTCAAAATATGAAAAATTCCTTTCAAATGGTTACGTACACGACAAGGAGTGTGAGGGAATTGGGCCAGTGACGTGGGCCGTTATCCATTGGCGTAAAGAGACATGACCGGTCGCCCTAACTTCTGGATAGGTTGTGGGCCATTCCGTTTGGTTTGGAAAAACAGGTTGTGGTCCTTTTCGAAAGCATGTCTGGTCACATCTGGCACGTTCGACATATCAAAAATTGTTTTGTCGGTTTGGGCCAACAGATCACAAGAATTTAAAGCTCGTATCTACCAGTTAGAAAATCTATTAAGGGGGCCATAACTCTTACAAATCTTACATTTCTCCTCAAAAAAAAAATATATTACCTACTCAGCGAGGAACTACAAAAAAGGTGGCTCATATTTGAGAGTTCCCCCCTTAGCTCGTTACTTTCTAAAGGCAAGAATGTGGGGCTAGAGAAATCTTGGAATCAACGAGTTGTTCTAAAAGACTGTAAATACTTACTCCTAATAGATATGTAGTTCAAATAATAAAATAAAATTATGGGAGTCAATTATGTCGTGTTCGTATGACTTGCATGTTGTCTTATTCGTGTCGTGTCATGTTCATATCAAGACTCACGAAAAAAAAAATTATTTAGTGTGTTCTGAGTATTAAATATTATTATTCTAGACTATTTTAATAATTGTATTAATTTTTTAATCGTTCGTGTTGAATTCGTATCAACGAGTTAGAGTTGACACCCCCAATAAAAATACTACTTATGGCCCATTTAAAGCCATCAAGGTCGGATCAATTGAAAAGATAGGCCAATTTTTTCTTCCTGTTTGGTCTGTCCTGGCCGTTGATTTGTGGGTTGGGCTTCCTCAAACTGGTTCACGGCCCCTTGATGACTCAGTTCCATTCCATCACTTGTTTTCTTGAATTGTCTCATACATTGTTGCCCAATTAAAATTTTCTTTCTATGGGAACTACTTTACAATGAGTAAAATATCAATGGAAGGACTGATTGCTTGTTCATTCTTGTCCAACTAATTAAGTACAACGTCCTAGATGTTGTTGATCCGACGACTTATGTTTTAACCTTTTAACCATGAGGGAACACTTGTCCTAGTTATATTATTCTCCTTCAGAATAAATGAGTTTAAGCTCAGAGTTGTTGGGGGGCTTTTAATGGCTTGCGTGATTCTAAAGCATGCTGAATGGAGCCAAACCCATGTTTTGTTGAATTAGTAACTAGTCTAGCTTGAACCCACTGGTTTGAAGCTCGACGAGTACGAGCTGAATGTGAGCAATTGTATTCTATAGGAAGTTATAGGGTCAATCCTGATCAAGGAACGTAGTCACAAAAATATGCTACAACCATCTATTTTTATTTATTATTATTATTTTTTTGACAATGATATTATTCACGGACAATTGACCGATGAATTTGATACAACGAATTGAAGCTAGAATATTGTAGACAGCTCGTATAATTGATTAGATTGCTTCAAATAGAAGCTTTTGAGATGGAACACAGTTGCCAAATAAATATATACTTGAATTTGACTAACAGTAAATACCATGCATGTCCCACTTCCCCAAAACATTTATGAGTAATGTTACGCTGATCAAATTTTGAGATCAAATCAAGAGTTCAAATGACATGACACTTGATTATTTGAAGTCTTTATTGGGGTCCAAATGACATGACACCACATAAAGAAGCCCAAGTCAAGTGTCATGTCATTTGAACTCTTGATTTAGTCTTAAAATTTGGTCAGTATAGTATTACTGAACATTTATATATGTGATCCAAAATTCGTTTTGGTCATGCCTTTCTGGAGTAACTAAACTATAAATTTTCGAATCCGCCTTCTCTCTCATCATTCATCCATATCACATGTTTCAGTGTATCTACCATGACCCCCCACGAATAAAAATAAACAAAACTATCAATTTAGTACCTACTTTACTAATATTTGATAGCAATGTAATTGACTTATTACATGATTTTTTTTTAATCAACTGGGATTTTTAACAGGGGAGAGGATGAGAGGTCTTGATTTTAATTGGCTGTTTTTTTATAGTATACAATAATGTGAAATATCTTTTCTAAAGATTTGAAGATGTAATGGGCTATTGCTAAGTGGGTAGTTAGAAAGCTACATGAAGTCGGTAGCGTGATCGAATAAAACCAAAATGATACAATTACACTAGATCTGTTAATTATTATAGATAAATTGGGCTATTTTTTAAAAAAAAAAATTTGTTGATTCGTAGAATACTAAAGTGATCGTAAGAAGACAAAAAAAAAGAAAAATTCTCAATCTTTAATTTGAAATATCAAAGAAGCTGATTAGTTTTCCAAGTCAAGAGAAATTAAAAAACTTAAAAAGTGCCCAAAATCATGTGGTAAAACAAAAAAAAAAAAAATGCTTGAGAGATGGTGTTACCAATTTTGTAGAACTCAGCTGGATTTATGGAATGCGGACTTGAGCCATCTTTTACTTGCTCAGATTTTTTATCCTCTCTATTTCACTTTTACTCAATTTTTTTCGCAGATAGATCACGCACTGTGTATAATGAAAGAGACCATTTATAAATAGTGGGTCTCACTTGTTGTATTGGTAGATGATCTACTAGTGGATTAAATATTTGGTATAACAGTGACAACATGTTACCATTGCCATGTTGTCTTAGTACTATTCAACAAACCTATAAGTAGATAAAATGAACATCATTTCTTTACACATGGTGGTTATTTTCTTACACGGACATAGTAGTTACTGAATTAAATAAGATTTACATGTTGATTTATTATTGATTAATGACGTCACACGACAATAATAATGTGAGTAGAAGTATATTGCATTTCTTGAGTGAAATTGAGGGATGCAGAAGTTCTTTAGTCCCATTTATTTTTCTTATTCTATTTTGCAAATGGTAATATTCACCAACAAATCACCAATGAATGTTTATAGCCAGCTCGAAGATGATAGATTGCTACTAGCTAGTGAAAGCTTTTGACTAGAACACAGTTGCTAACATTCGTTTTAGGAATGCCTTTCTGGAGTAACATTCATTATCACAAGTTGTTTAATTCTGTCTATTGACAGCACTATATATAATTGACTTAAATGATCTCTGGTTTTATCAACTGTGATCTTTTAATTAGAGCTATGGGGATTTGATTTCAGTTGCCTTTTTTGATAGTAAACAATTGTGTGAAATGTCTCGTCCAAAGATTTATGAATTAAAAAATTTTGCCACCCAGTAGCAAAATCTATGGCACTTATGCTATTTTAAAGTAGAAGTGTTGTAGTTGTTCTATGGTAAAAAAAAAATAGTAGCAAAATCATAGTGGCCACTCCTCGGAGGATCATTAACACTTAAGACTATTAGGGAGGGAGTGAGATTGAATAAAACCGAAATAACACCACAATCTTAAGACTTACAGTGTATCCCATGTAACATGTTGCATCTTGTCATACCAAAAAGATTGAAAGTAAAGAAAACAATTCTTAAATATTTATTTCAAATTTTCAATAAGGGCTTGAATAGTTTACAACCCAATATAAATAAAAACCTTATTGTTCCAAATTACGTACAAAGAAATCTGAGCATAGCATTTATAACTACAAAAGTGCCAAGACTTAAAAAAAAAACAACAAAAAAAAGGGTTTTTAAAAATAGACTAAAGGATAGTTTTTGGCCAAAAAATGAGTCGGATGATGTCCTAAATTTTGTAAAACTTGTTGAAACAATTTAAGAGAATGAGATCTTTATTAATTTTTTTATCATGGTAACTGAAATCTATCTAGATTATCACCGCTTACGATGATCCTGGTGTATTTCAATTATGTTGTGCTTCTAATCTAATTAGAAGTGAGAGATACTAAACATATGCTTTACAAGAAAGGACAACTTGATTTTCATAATTTATAGGAGTCTTCATCATATCATAAATTATCAGATATAGCCTGCCATTGGGTTACATGCTAACCCAATCTAGACCATAAGCTGATTTCTATTGCGATTTAATTTGCTTCAAATGTATAACACAATAATAGGAGTTTCGTCTGCAATTCATGCAGACAATTTCAGTTTTCAAAGCAACCCAATATAAGTAGCAACTGAGATCGGGGAAAGGAATTATATATATATATATATATATAGCTTCAACAAGGTGGCATGTCTGGTGGTGGTGGTAGTAGACTTGTTTGTGGGCTCTTGCCATTTTTCACAATAAACGCCATGTCCATGCCCCATGTAAGGTGGCGATCCAAATGGCAGTGCATGAACCAAACTCCTGCAATAGGTAAAGAAAATCCATAATTGACAATATTAACACCACCACAACCATAATAATAACCAAAAAAAACAAGGGAAAGACTGTGATAATAAAGTTATACTTTTTGTTATTTTACTAATAGTTGCAATTTGTTGAGATTACAATTCACACAGTTGTGGTTACTACTCAATGGGTTTCTTGGGGTCGATCCAAAAGGTCGGGATAGATCATAACATTTTAAAATTGGTTATAACTTTTTCAAAATCATAATTAACCTTTTGAGTGGTGATTTAACCCGACAACTGAGTTGTAAAACTTCATATCCTTGTCTTTCCAAAGCAATGAAGGCACAATAGGAGCAGCTGTGATGAAACATACCAGGATTGCTTGCCTTGAACCTGACGGCAATCCAGCCCTTCCTGGGAACTATAGCAGTGTTACGAAAAGGAGGGTCCACAAGATTAAAATTCTTGGTGTCGTTATGTTTGTCAAAATTGCCAAGCCCCCACCCCACAACATAGAAACTGAACCCATGGAGGTGCATGGGATGATCCAACCCTGCAACCAAATTTGTGCCTTGCAAAACCATCTGAACCGTAGAGTTATATTTCAGTACTTTCACTTCAGTCCCCCTTTTTGGTGTGTTCAGGTACAAAGGTGGATAGTCTTCAGTAAAATTGAACACAAACGGTGGGAAACTAGGAAAATTCTTCTTGTAAACCCCATTGATATGGTAATAATAAGCTTCCAAAATATCGAATCTTTGGGGGATAACGAAGCTTATGTTGTTCATGCTTGCAGCCAACCGAGTCCCATTTGGTCCCTGACATGTACCATTTGGGTAGCATGGAAAAGTTTTTATTGCAATAGTTGATTCCAATCTTTTTTTCAAGTGTATAGGGACATAAACTGGATGATTTTCACTAACCAAGCTTCTAAGTGAAAAAATGAAATTATAAGCTGAGGAGGTATCATTATAGTAGGGAAGGGCAGGAAATGAAGGGGACGAAGATGGAGTGTAGTTCCCATTGTACTGAAGAATTGCTGTGGTGGTTGTGTTATCAAATGCAATAGGGCCAGCGGTGAATGCTCTTGCAGCCATGTAATAGTGATTAGGGTTTTGGTTTGTATGTAAGAGGCAATCTAGGGTTTGGCCAGGGGCTATGGCGCATAGTCATTTGTGGATCGCTTCGTGTAGCTTGCATCGGCTCCAACAACTGTGAGATTGTGGTTTGCGATGGCAAAGAAGAGGATCTCGTTCATTGCAGCGCTCACTAGGCGTAGCAGGTAAGTCTTGCCATATTCAACCTTCAGCTTGTAGGTGTCTACAAATGAAAATAGGAAGGTTATATTTTCAAAAAATTTCTTAAAATGAGGTGATTGTTTCTAAAACATAAGTTTAACACTAATGCTATTGAGACATAATTGGAGGGCATAATTTGAGGATATAATGAGTTGTTACCAATGAAATGATGATAAAATACATTTAATGATAAGTCACATTATAGTATTAATGAATTCATTATCATATTATTGATGACAACTCATTATATTCTCAAATTATGTCTTAATAACATTATTCTAAGTTCAAAATAACAATAACGACCGCCGTAACAAATCCTAATTGTAACGTAGCGTTAGATATTAGGTAATAGAAAGAGAGTGAGTTTTTTTTCCTCAAATTTACAAGCCCTAAAAATGGTTGTTTGCACGTTTCACATCTAAAATCATTGAAAAATGGGTTTTTAGTGATATATAATACACTTTTTTGCATCGTAGATATGATATTGACATATACTGTGTAGATAAATTAAAAAAGGTGTTCATTTGGTAATTCTTCTGTAATTCATATTTTAAAAAACCTTATAATCTAACCATCAACATGAGTAGCTGAAATTAACATAAGGGCATCTTCTTGGTAAATATTCGAGATAGAGATGTGACACCTACCACGCTTTGAGCATGGGTATAGCACACCCGGCTGCCCATTTATAGTGTAAGCGTCAGATATATTTGGGGCACCTCCTGATGCCATAAATTGCCTATAGACCTGCATTACATCTGCCTTCCACCACTCCCCTAACAGTCAACAACATCAAGAGAAAAAAAAAACCATCAAAATGGTGCAAAGGTATAGGAGATGGAGTAGTTACTAATCTGATTACAGTACTGTATAATTATTTTTTGATATTTTACGGAAAAGAACTTGACATCAGAAACTCTAATAATTGTATTTTTACCAAATATGAGCTGCACTTCTCCAAGGGGCTTTGGAAAAGGGTAGCTAGTGCCATGCTTGGGATGGATGACTATAGCACCGTGCACGGTGGCCCGTGACCAGTCGCTGTGTGCATGCCACCATAGAGTCCCTTCCTCTTCGGAAAATATGACCTTTTCAGTAAACCTGTGGCCAGGTTTGATTGGGCACTGAGTGATGTATTCAGGACCATCTGACCACGGATTCCTTGGCTGCTTCACTCCATGCCTGCAATTTTATTTTTTTTTGGGTAAATAAAATTGTATTTCTATTCTTCATTTAAAGTGTATTATACTTTGCTACAGTGCTAAAAAATAGTTATTCATTGTGAAAAATGGTAAAATAAATTAAAACAATATAACAAAATAATTTGTCAGGAGTCATACTTTTATTGGTAAAAAAGGAATGTCTGATTAAGAAAAAAATATTTTCCGATACCAATGTCTAACTAGCAATCATTGCAGGTCATTAGTTCATCTATGTTTTAGGTGCAAATAATCTAATCAAAAGGTTACTGTCAATATGCAATAAGATTGAGTTGCAGAAGAAGAGAAAAGGGGAGGAGTTGTCTGTTTTGGCTTAGACACTTGATAAAGTCAAACCTATAATTATGACAAGATCAAGAACATTCAAGTTGTCAAAGCCAAAGAAATCCTATGAATTTAAATATTATTAATTTTTTATGGATTGGTTCTACTTGATGAGGTCTTTTGCAGCCACTACTATTCTAGCATTCTGTCTTTCAGCATTCTTATTACTGTCTTTCAGCTGGGTTATTCGAAAAAAGCAGCAGATTAATGTTTAGTTGTCTAGTACTGTTCACGATACTGTTCATCTAACTTTCTGCTAGACTGTCAGCTGACTCATATTCTCTAAACTCTTCGTTGACTGTAAAATGCAGTGTTTGAAGTCATTGTTAAGATTTTATTTTGTATTTAAAGTTCTTTTATTATATAAGGGGAAATGTTTATATCCTCTCCTCTCTTTATAATTTTGTTATTAATAAAATTTGTCCTAAATGGATTTAACTTAAAAAAAAAAAGTGTGCCCAGCCACCATGATATTCATTTATATGTTGTTTCTATAGTGGAAACCTCTTTTAAAAGCTCATACACTCAGAGTTAGCTCCACATTATTGAGCTACACTATCGAGTTATTGCTTTTTGTGGCATTCTAGCATTATTTAGTCGACAAAGAGCGACTAAATAACAAAGTTGCCCCTTTTGTTTGAGAAAATGACAGCATTACACACAAAACCCCAGCATGTAGAACACTATGAATATGTGATTGGTTGAAAGTCTAAGGATCTGTCGTACCAGTGAATGGTGATATTATATATTCCTCTGTTATAAACGTCGACAAGAATAGTATCTCCTTTGTGAACATGCAGAGTTGGGCCAGGAAATTTTCCATTCACTGTCAAAATCTTCTTTGATTTGCAGAGTCTTTTGTACCGAGCTTCTTTTACCTGTACATAAAATGTTTTCAAGAGGTACCCAAAACCATGCAATAATTAATGAATGAAAAACGTAAATATAAACATGGTCAGAACACAGTTCTGCCCATGGCCTCGTATATTTTTGAAAATCCCAATTTTTAACTCCGTCTCTGTTAGAGGAATGTAATGCCTACCATATACATGCCTATAAGTCGTTCAAAATGATATGTACATATTCTCGACCAATGTACATAATTATGTGGAATCCTTTGTTGGGGAACATTTCAAATGCTTTCGTATGATCATCAACCCATATGTTCCAAGCATTTACATAAAGATAAATAACACTTACAACAAAAGTATGCCGGTATTCCCAAGCTTCACAACGGAGAAAGTCACCGATGACTGTTATGAACAATAGAATATAAAAGACGAAAAGCTTATTGCTAGACGACATTTTCATGTCTATTTTTTCTTATGGCAAAGTCTCTTAGGAGCTTTTGAATTTATAGAGGTGTAAGAGCAAATGTATATTAGTTGGGTGTTCAGCACTTCAATGCTAGTTTCCGAAAATAGAATGCAAATTTAGTGTTGGCCATATTTTCATATCAATAAAAAGGAATGACTCTGTTAATGAAGCATAATATTCCCAGTTTAGTATACTGTGATGAATGACTCTGTTAATCTGCATTTTCTTTATCGCATTAATCACTTTCGTTGACTCCGTATGAACTCATAATATCCTTTTCTGATGCTTAGACAAAAGGACTTCTAATGTGGAATATTAATATTCCATTACATTGGCTAAAATTTCCATTTCCTGGTAACCAAAATGTAGTACCCCATAAATTTAACACACATTTTTACGTCATGAAGGGACAAATGACGAGTTAACAGCTTCCATAGCAGTGGGGACCAACCGAGTCTAGTAGGAATGGGTACGGACAACAATACCACGACAGCAGATAGTGTAATGGCAGCACCCAGTTCGACGCCGCTAGGCACGACACCCAATTTGTGATGCTCCATGGTGCAGACACTCCATTTGCGATGCTCCCCAAGCGCAACACGGCATTAGGGCGAAACACATCCCCATCTCACTGGAAGTGATAAAATGAACTCTTCACCAAGTATAAACAAAAGTGGATCCACATAAGCCTAGGGCCACTAGTATTGTCACAATCGAGATAGTTGTGGGTTTGTGTGAGTGATAGGATCGGGGTCCCGACTTGTCTAGGCACTGTACTATAAATACTCCCATTACTTGTCCACTGCGGAGAATGAGATTTTTTTAACTAGTGAGAACAATTCACCAACCCTCTATCCAATTGGTTTGTCCCTTCGTCAATAAGTTGTTTGAGTTCCTTCCATTCCATCCGCTTATCTTATTTATCTCCTTCAATAACCTTTGACATAAACATGTGTATCAACTTCTTTCAACTCCCCACCTCCACAAGCAAAATTGGGTGATGTATTATTTTGTGATCAATGGCCGCCCATAAACCCGGGATTTACAGGTAAGCTACGAAGAATTTAATCTCGCGTAAATTGTGTTTAAGCATTACGTACCGGTCACTTCAGTCCATGACCGAAGTAGTAATTATTAGAAGAAGGAAAAAGAAAAAAGCATTACGTACTGGTTGAGGACAAGTTTTTCCTTTCCTTGAATACCAAGATCATAAATATAGTAAGACATACTTTTTAAGTATTCCGATTGACTGTCCCGATCGACAAGTGTTTCATAAAATAAGTTGTGATTGCAACCAAATGACCAACTTTCGTTTTACATTAGACTTATTAGGGTTTCAAATAGAGTGACATCCCTCAGATATTATTTTTTTTTCTCTATTTTCTTTCTTAGTAAATTACTCATTATAAAGAAGTAGGTCTTTCCCAGTGAAAAAAGTGCAAGACTGTTCGGACGTATTAACTTAATTGCACGTGGGAAACACACTCTAAAACATCAAAATACTTCTAACTCAAAGAAATTTAAAATATAAAAATCCATCAAATAGATATAAAATTCAATCAATCTCAAAAATGTCATAACCAAGTAATTTTTTATGGCTATAACTTTCTAACGTCACATTCTTTGGATGTGTAGTAAGGGTAAATAAGACTTACTTATCCAACNCAAGTAATTTTTTATGGCTATAACTTTCTAACGTCACATTCTTTGGATGTGTAGTAAGGGTAAATAAGACTTACTTATCCAACAACTCACACAGTATTACTCGTCCGAAAATTGTTGGTCGACTGGGGTGGGGCCAAAGATCAAAGAGGAAAAAATAAAAAACAACTTATGAGCTTTTTCAATTTGCCATACCAGTTCACCATCATCACTCTTCAAATTGTACTGTAAATAGCAGGATGATCGTCCTTTCGAGTCTTCTATGTGTGGTTTAGCACCGTTACACGCATCCCAAACTTACCTACAATTACACCTTCATGAAACACATCATTAAAATGGTTCTTGGGTTACAAAAAAAAGAAAGAAAGAAAGAAATTCACACAGAAAAATTTAAAGGATCGACGAGTCTTGCCATAGGAATTTAGTTACTAAGTCAATGTATTTGCATCTCCTTCAGTACAATAGCTCTTAGTCATCTGCCAATAATATCACTGTAGAAACATATATTGAAAGGGATTTGAAGCGTACTACTTCATCTATTTCAGAAACACCAACACAGTCATCAAGATTCTCAGCATTAAGAAAACGTGATTGAGTTGGGGTTTGGGAGAAGATACACACAATATATGAGTGAGAGAATTTGGAAGAGCAGAAGCACTTGAAGAGAGAGACAGAGTGTGAAATTGAGGTTTTGCTGGTTTGTGTATCCTTATAGCATAGGTTATCTTGGTAGTACAAATTGAAGTACAGAGAATTGAGTTACTAGATGTTCTGCACATATATTTTTGAAAATTAAATCAGTATTTTTCCTTTTGAGGTAATTGAATGCTGCAAGGTAATTTTGAGGAAACATATTAACGGATTAACAATAACTATATATTTAAAGACACTTTGTAATAATAAGAATCAAACATTCATCGCTCAACATTTATATTTTATGCAACATGAGCAATGTCCGACCAAAGGCAAGGCGGTTGAAAGTGATAATTGAGGGTTAGTCCTCTTTATGGAATTTAATATGAGTTAAGTTTATCCCTTAAACATATTTGATGTTAAGTCACACTCTTATATTTTTAGTAATTAGTTAAGTCCAAATTTTTTTTTTTAGTTTCAAAAAGCCCTTATTGTTCCATATTGGTTTGTATAAATATCACGTTGAAAGTAGTTTCCAAACTGAAAAAATTAGTTACTCATATAAGTCATGTTGATTGGACATATTCCAATATATTTTTTTCCATAGAATTTGAAATTCAAATTCAATAGTTGTACTTATTATCCATCTTCTTCTCTCTCTTTCTAGATATGTGTGAGCAAATTGGCAAAGCTATGTTCTCCCACATGACGATCGAGGGTCAACACGTCAGTAGAATCATAACGGAACTATTCGTTGACATGACGACGCGGACGGCAGAGAACTTCTGAGCATACATTATCGAACATTGCCAACAAACCAGAATGCAAATTCTCATTGGATATCGAAAAAAAAATGAGCTTTTCCCAGCACCTACTATTCTCTCCCAAATTCCAGAGGGCTAGAGCCAAGGTTGACAAATCGGTGACTGAAGGAAGCTAATGCTTTGCCCAAGATCTGCGTGCATGTGTTTTCTTGATCAAGCAAAGAAGAGACTGATTTGGGCTTTGGTGAGACAATTTAACATAAAGATTTCAAAATTATTTCTGACTACAATTAGCCATCCACTTGATGAAGATTTACATATTCTTTTCCCTTGAGCCTCTGGTAGACTCAAATGGTGAATTTTGGTGCTTGAAATATTAAAGCAATACCTGAAAATCTTTGGTGATATTATTGTAATGGCGGTGGTGGGGAAGCATAAATTACAACGTCTTGTCTTTTTACAGATTAAATTCCTTCAAAAATTTATGTCATTAAAACTACTCTCTCGATTGTCATCAGAAAAATACAAATCGCTTAGTATTCTGAGAAACTTAGAAACAATTGGTTCATAGACTGGTTTCTATACGTAGCTCCATATCTCTTGCAATATATATTATGAATCCTTATTTGAGTATGAAAGTGAAAACCGTGTATTTTTAGGAGTCTTTAGGCATTTTCAAACCTTGAATTTGGCAATTTTGGAACCACCTGTTCTCTTTGAAACTTTAGACTTTTCAATTTTTATTCACTTCAGATGTAGTGTTTATTATGCAAAATGGACATTTGAATGAAATTTTTTTGGATAATGGACACTTACATGCCAACTCTTTGCAAACTTGGTGTAATATGTTAGTTGTTGTTTAAGCGTATTTGTCAAAATATTAATTGGTGATTGTTTTATTTTTTGCATTTAGCTAATATAAATTATTAATCTTGTCACAGTTGCAGGTATTTCTTGTCATATATTTAGTGCATGCACAATAGTTGTTCAACAATTAGAGGCTATATAGTTATAAATAAGCAATCCTTTTGTCCANTCAAACTTTTCAATTTTTATTCACTTCAGATGTAGTGTTTATTATGCAAAATGAACATTTGAATGAAATTTTTTTGGATAATGGACACTTACATGCCAACTCTTTGCAAACTTGGTGTAATATGTTAGTTGTTGTTTAAGCGTATTTGTCAAAATATTAATTGGTGATTGTTTTATTTTTTGCATTTAGCTAATATAAATTATTAATCTTGTCACAGTTGCAGGTATTTCTTGTCATATATTTAGTGCATGCACAATAGTTGTTCAACAATTAGAGGCTATATAGTTATAAATAAGCAATCCTTTTGTCCAAGTTTTATTGACTTGTCTTGATGTTTTCAAATTGCAAGTTGGAATAAGTAAATTTGAGTGATGCACTTTTAATCCGTGGATGACATGAGGACTGCAGTTGACATTTTGATCCAACATATGATGTTTCCTCATCCTATAAGGAGTCAATTAAAGTAATAAATATATATTTTTCTCTAATTATTTTTATTTTATATTAATTTAAAAATAATTCACGTGCAACACACGTGTGCAACAATTAGTTAAAGGAAAAAACAAGAGAATTTTTTTCAAAATTAAGTTACAAATGTATCTTATATTGAAATCAATGTATNCTAACATATGATGTTTCCTCATCCTATAAGGACTCAATTAAAGTAATAAATATATATTTTTCTCTAATTATTTTTATTTAATATTAATTTAAAAATAATTCACGTGCAACACACGTGTGCAACAATTAGTTAACGGAAAAAACAAGAGAATTTTTTTCAAAATTAAGTTACAAATGTATCTTATATTGAAATCAATGTATTGAATTATGATTCATTTTTACTATATTATGGTGTGAAACTATTATTTATGATGATAATTTATTTATAACCATAAAGTTATATTATAAATAAAGAAAAAAGAGAATGGTGATATTGTTACAAACTTATTAATTTTTATGATGGTGCGAACCATTTTTGGGTTATGTGATCGAAGTTAACTTTTACGATGAAATTGTATAAATAAAAATTTATCATTAACTATAATCATTGAATAACCCTATTAAACAATTGTTTTGTCTATGCCATGATTTTGGCCTGTTAGGATAAAGTTCTAACCCAGAAGGACAAGAAGAAGGAGTAGGAGAAGGAGAAGGAGAAGAAGAAGAAGAAGAAGAAGAAGAAGAAGCCATTCCTTTGCATTGTCTCATCTTTGGGCCAAATATGAATCAAAAATTAACCCCTTAGTGTGTATAATAATTTCGACTTTGAGTTTAGTATGAGGAATATATTAAGATTTTATATATTTTATAATATAAAAATAAAATCAATATTAATTACATACTAAAATAAAATAAGAACTTATTTTAAATATAATAAATTGTCTATAATTGATTATATGCTAAAATTTTCAGTAATTTTTCTTTTGATGAATGGAATCAAAGAGTCCGTTATAAAATCATTATTTATTTGTGAAGCTTAATTATGATAATCTTCCATCTCGTTAAACAATGATTATTTGAAGCAAAAAACATATTTTTATGTTAGGACATTTTACTATTTGTATCTTATGCTGTTAATTTGGTTATAGTCTACTAACTTGCCGAAGAAAACTTAAGGGCAACTATACCAAATTTTATAAAATCAAAAGGTTCAATGTGTTAAATTATAAAGAGTTGTCATGACTTCGAACCATATATACATGGAAGGAGTATTTAATGGTCAGTGGGTTCAAGCTGCCCTCCCATGAAGGTGGCTCCGCCCCTGGTGGCGGTGGTGGTGAATGGTGATGTGGTGTTGGCTGGGAAAAGGCTGTTTTGTGGAGGAGGGGGTGCTTGATTGGTGTGTTTAGTTGGGGTTTTGTTTGCTAATGGGGTTGGCAGTGGAGGGGGAACTGTGGGGTCCGGTGGTGCTGTAGTGGTGAACGTGTGGTTAATTTCAGGAGATCGATGGTCAATTTGGGAGGAACGTTTCAATTTGAAGGAAAAAATTGAATGATTTGTATTTTGCAGTACATGTGTTGTATATATACATTATTATCCCATAATGAGTGGGATTAAGAGGAGGAATTAATGATATATAAATTCCATGATGTGTAGGATGTCATTGTTTGACATATTTTTAGATTGCGGGCATGCTAAAGTTTGATTGAACTTAAAATATAAACACGTATAATCTTCCCTATTAAAACCGCCGTCAAATTCTAAAATTGTGACTGTTCAGATGAATTTAACAAGGTGTAAGACGATGTCTAAGTTTTTTTCTTTGCCTTGGAGATAAAAAACTTCAATAATTTCTTAAATGGTAACGTAATAAACTGGAATGTAAAATGACGACTGAAATATAAAGTAACTGAGGAACTAAACTTGGAAGATGAAAAGAATATTGTACTTAACATTTAAGGGAAAAAACATTAAAGATCACCGGAGTGATAGATTGCAGATTAAAGTAAAATTGTTGGGAAGTAAAAACAAGTAGAAAATAAGCTAACTCTGTGTGAAGTTGTTGTGTGAAGTTGTTGTGTTTGATCGATGATTTTTTTTCTGTAGTCTTGTCTTTGTTATTTATGGGAGATAATCTTTAACCATTGAAGCCATCTTTTTCGGTCATGAATACTACAATCATGGTCTCTTCTCTCGAGATACGCATACGTGCGTCAAATCATCTCCAACTGAAATTTCATGATGTCACGTTTTCTTGTTTCTTGGGATTCTTAGAGTCATGATGTCATATTTTCTTGTTTCTTGGAATTTTTATGTTCCGTTTGATATGATGAAAAAATGGAAAGACAAAAGATTGAAATGANTGAAGTTGTTGTGTTTGATCGATGATTTTTTTTCTGTAGTCTTGCCTTTGTTATTTATGGGAGATAATCTTTAACCATTGAAGCCATCTTTTTCGGCCATGAATACTACAATCATGGTATCTTCTCTCGAGATACGCATACGTGCGTCAAATCATCTCCAACTGAAATTTCATGATGTCACGTTTTTTTGTTTCTTGGGATTCTTAGAGTCATGATGTCATATTTTCTTGTTTCTCGGGATTTTTATGTTCCGTTTGATATGATGAAAAAATGGAAAGACAAAAGATTGAAATGATAAAAAGTTTGAGAGATAAATAAAATATCATGTGTTGGTAAAAAAGGATGAAAAAGTGGATGAATTAACTTTCCTTCCAACTCACCAAAATTAATCTCTCCAAAATCAGAAGGAAAGTGTATGAAAAGTTAATTATTTGTGTTAAAATGTATCTTATTTGTCTATGTATCTTTTGATATACATATATTATGTATACATTAATTTTATAATAATAAAATATGTATATGTATATATATATAAATTTAAATTAAAAAAAATATTTTTTTCAATCTTAGCTAGGGGTNATGATGAAAAAGTGGATGAATTAACTTTCCTTCCAACTCACCAAAATTAATATTTCCAAAATCAGAAGGAAAATGTATGAAAAGTTAATTATTTGTGTTAAAATGTATCTTATTTGTCTATGTATCTTTTGATATATACATATATTATGTATACATTAATTTTATAATAATAAAATATGTATATGTATATATATATATAAATTTAAATTAAAAAAAATATTTTTTTCAATCTTAGCTAGGGGTGCAAATTTTCAATTCAACACAATGACACGATTCGAACTCGACATGAATTTTATAACACGAACTTGATTATAACTCGACACAAATTTGAAAATGGTTTGACATGCGAACAAAAAATATAAAATACTCATATTCAGTTCAACTCGTCAAACTCAAAATTGACACTATCAACCCGTTTATTTAAAAATAAATATTTTCTCTATTTTCTTATTTGTATGGTAACACAAAANACGAATTTTATAACACGAACTTGATTATAACTCGACACAAACTTGAAAATGGTTTGACACGCGAACAAAAAATATAAAATACTCATATTCAGTTCAACTCGTCAAACTCAAAATTGACACTATCAACTCGTTTATTTAAAAATAAATATTTTCTCTATTTTCTTATTTGTATGGTAACACAAAATTAACATGTTTAATAAGTATTATAGGTATAAAATGTTAATTATTTGTAACTATTTATTGAGTACTGACATAATTATTATATAAAAAAATATTTTTACTTATTATTATTATTATATTTATTTAAGTTATTTTTTAGTTTGTAGAAAAAATATAAATATGGATTCAATTAAGTGAAAATAGAATATTAACGTTAAATTTTTTATTCAAAGTTTATGTNACATGGAGTCAATTAAGTGAAAATAGAATATTAACGTTAAATTTTTTATTCAAAGTTTATGTGGATTAACATAAATACAAACTAAAAATTAACTTAAATAAATATAATAATAATAATAAGTAAAAATATTTTTTACAAAAATAAATAGGTGAACTCAACACGACACAATTAGTTAAATGAATTGAATTAGATTTGACTAATGTTTGACAAATCCATAATGACTCAACATGAACTTGACACAATATGACTCGATTGTCACCTCTAATCTTAGCAAGCACAAAATAAAAATTAATCATTTTTATTTTTCATCCATCCTACCAAACACAAATGAANCGCTACTCAATTAGTTAAATGAATTGAGTTAGGTTTGACTAATGTTTGACAAATCCATAATGACTCAACATGAACTTGACACAATACGACTCGATTGTCACCTCTAATCTTAGCAAGCACAAAATAAAAATTAATCATTTTTATTTTTCATCCATCCTATCAAACACAAATGAATGAAAGTGTATTATTCCTACTTTCCTTCCATAAAAAAAAGAAAGTGTATTCCTCATACTTTCTATCCTTCTTGTTTTCCATCATTCGTATTACTTTCATCTTTCCTACCAAACGGAGCATTAGAGTCATACTTCCTTAACCACCCTATTAAGTATGGACTTTCGTAGACTTNATCAAACACAAATGAATGAAAGTGTATTATTCCTACATTCCTTCCATGAAAGAAAGAAAGTGTATTCCTCATACTTTCTATCCTTCTTGTTTTCCATCCTTCCTACTACTTTCATCTTTCCTACCAAACGGAGCATTAGAGTCATACTTCCTTAACCACCCTATTAAGTATGGACTTTCGTAGACTTTTTCATAACCGTCAAATTAGTTTTGCGTGTCACTTAAAATTTGCTATTTTTTGTTGTAAACAGTAATACAACAAAATATCAACAGTAAATCAATACAGATTCATTTAAGGACAAAATCATGAGAGAATCAATCTTATAATGTCAATAGAAACACAATAAATAATGGGTGAAATCACAAGTAAAATAGAAAGACAANCTGTCAAATTACTTTCGCGTGTCACACTTAAAATTTGCTATTTTTTGTTGTAAACAGTAATACAACAAAATATCAACAGTAAATCAATACAGATTCATTTAAGGACAAAATCATGAGAGAATCAATCTTATAATGTCAATAGAAACACAATAAATAATGGGTGAAATCACAAGTAAAATAGAAAGACAAATAGAAGGTATTCTTGTCTTTGCTTAAAAATGGAGTCACAGGTATAAGGTCTAAGTGAAGCCGTAAAAATTGAGGGAGGTGATGTGTGACTGGGTCTAAGTTCACGGGTTTTGTATTATGAACACTTTTTGAAATACACACTTGCAACGCCATACGATTTTGCATAACTTCCCTGTCAATTCGGATGAAACTATTGAAAGAAGATTAACAAATTATCAGTCACTCTCCATTGGATTTTCGATTCGTAATACAGATATAGTCTTGTCATTTGGCTCAACCATGGACCAAACATCTATACCATAAACAGACTTCATTTCATAAAAAGCAAAATCAGAAGAATCATCATTCTATATAGCCATTTAATTTGCTTCAAATGTATAACATAATAGTAAGAAAATTGCTGCATATGCAAGCAGACAATTTTAGTTTTCAAAGCATTCCAGCGAAAATATTCACATAAACATACCCAGAGAGATGTGGGAGAAGTATGACTATAATATTTAAGCTTCAACAAGGTGGCATGTCTGGTGGTGGTGGTAGCATACTTGCCCCAGGGCCCTTCCCATCTTTCACTATAAACACCGTGTCCATCCCCCATGTAAGGTGACGCTCAAAATGACAGTGCATAAACCAAACTCCTGCCATAGTTAAACAAAATACTCAATGGGTCATTTTTTATCAATCCTACAAATTTGGAATCAATTCCAAAATTTTAAATTTTAAAATTAACCAAGTTTGAACATGTGATTTCGATAGGCCAAAAAACTTCTGCAGCTATAGGGTGCGGGTTTAGCGGAAAATGAGGAGCTCGTAACAACTGATTAAACCATGATCCCCGAGAGCTCATATTGACATGAGGTGAATTAGTTAAAAACTCTAGTTGACGGAATCGACGATGTGTTCCCCGCTTTTTTTTTATTTTCCAGCCATAACTTTACCCTAATAATTATGTTATAACTTTTGATATGATATTGAAATTCATACCATACTTAAACTTACCAGGGTTGTTCGCCTTGAATCGGATTGCAGTCCAGCCATTCCTGGGGACCATGACAGTGTTCAGAAAGGGAGGATCCACAAGATTAAAGTTCAAGGTGTCTTTATGTTTGTCAAAATTACCAAATCCCCACCCAACAACATAGAAACTGTACCCATGCAGATGCATAGGATGATCGATCCCTGCAACCAAATTCGTGCCCTGTAAAATCATCTCCACCATCGAATTATACTTCAGAAATTTCACTTCTGTCCCATGTATCGGCGTCTGTAGGTTCAATGGCAGATAATCTGCAGTAAAATTAAACACAAATGGCGGAAAACTAGGGAAACGTTTCCCATAAACCCCATGGACATGATAATAGTAAGCTTGTAAAACATCTAATCTTGGTGGGTTAACAAAGCTTATGTTGTTCATGCTCGCAGACAATCGTGTCCCATTCGGTCCCTGACATGTTCCATTTGGATAGCATGGAAAACTGTTAACTGAAATGGTGGATATCAATCGCTTAGTCAAGTATAAAGGGACGGAGATTGGATGATCTTCATTAGCCAAGCTTCTAAGTCGGCCAGTGAAATTAAAAGCTGAAGTGGTATCGTTATAGTAGGGAAGATAAGGAAAGGAAGGAGACGAGGATGTAGCGTAGCAATCACTGTAATGTAGAATTGCTGTGGTGGTTGTGTTATCGAAACTGACGTTAACGCCGCTGGAGTAAGCTCTTGCAGCCATGTAATAGTGATCAGGCTTTTGGTTGGCATGGAAGAGGCAATCAAGTGTTTGGCCAGGGGATATGACGATGTAATTGTTGGTTAATTGCTTGGTGTAGCTTCCATCAGCTCCAACTACTGTGAGATTGTGTTTGGCGATGGAGAAGAAGAGAACCTCGTTCATTGCAGCGTTTACAAGGCGTAGCAGGTAAGTCTTGCCATAGACAACTTTTAGCTTGTAGGTTTCTGCAAATAAAATAGAGAAAGGTTATGGCTTTTATGACCTCTTGGGCATGGACATTTTTAGGGAGAGAAATTTACCAAGGAAAACACTATTTTTATGTAATTTGGGGCCAAATTATAATTGCTCTAATAAAAGTTGGGTTTCATCTAACATTGGAGTACTCAGACTCAATTGATTTACGTCCTCAAATTAGGTTTAAGTAAAATTGTTTTTTATTTTTTTAAATGCTTTCGGCTGCCTAGCATATACAATAAGTTAAATAGATTTCTTTCCCTAATGATGTGTCTCATCTCTCGGGTTGTGTTGTGGGGAAATTATTAAAAGTTTTCTTTGAATAAATTGTACTCTTATTTTATATTAAACTAAATTAGTGTGTCTCCGTGCAAAAACACATTTTTTTTAATACTTTAAAATATTGTGCTTAAAAGGTTAAAATCTAATATAAGTCGTCAGATGTAAACGATTTGAGCCATTATTATGCTTTGTGTAAACAAGAATATGTGTAATTATTATGGAAAAATTACCGATAAGTATTACTTTTCTCTACAAACATCTATTAAATCCTATCATTTTTGTTTTATATCAATGAAGTCATTTTTTTAATATTTTATTTCAATCAAGTCTTAATTCAATTATATTTCANCTATTATTATGCTTTGTGTAAACAAGAATATGTGTAATTATTATGGAAAAATTATCGATAAGTATTACTTTTCTCTACAAACATCTATTAAATCCTATCATTTTTGTTTTATATCAATGAAGTCATTTTTTTAATATTTTATTTCAATCAAGTCTTAATTCAATTATATTTCAATTTTATCCATACTATTTAGTTACCAAAAAACTTTCATTCTTTTGCATTCTTATGTCAACACAGTCTTGGGGCATTTCAATTATGATGTGACTTTGAACTCTTTTTGGTATGTCAACTTCGGCAGCATACCCTTAAAACTTTTCAATTGCTATATGAATTCTTATTTCGATTAAGGTAATATTATTATATTTGCAGATTCTATTAATACATTNTTAAGTCTTAATTCAATTATATTCCAATTTTATCCATACCATTTAGTTACCAAAAAACTTTCATTCTTTTGCATTCTTATGTCAACACGGCAACACAGTCTTGGGGCATTTTTTCAATTGTGATGTGACTTTGAACTCTTTTTGGTATATCAACTTCGGCAGCATACCCTTAAAACTTTTCAATTGTTATATGATGTGTTTTCTTCTTACAATAAGTTAATTCTTATTTCGATTAAGGTAATATTATTATATTTGCAGATTCTATTAATACATTTTCTTGTTGGTTTTTAAATTATTTTATTAATTTATATGAGACTTAAAATGATTAAGTTAGAAATTTATTTTAGTTACTATGTTTGAATCAATAACGACATTAAAGTGTAATTAATCGACAAACATTACTAAGGTTTTTTTTGTTAACCTTTCTTATTTTATTAAATATTCGACAAATATTATCTCAAGTTTTAAGATTAGGTACCCCAATAAGATAAAAAAAATAAGAAAATGTGAACTTTCTTTAGAACTTGTCAAGAAATTTATGTTAGCAGAGTTTTTTTTTTTTTTTAATTTTTTTATGGGGTTTCAAGGTTAGTTTTGTAAGTAAGAAATTTTTGTCCTCTTAATTGGTTCTAAGAATGTAAAAAAATAAGAGTTTTGATAATTAAAAGGTAAGGATAAAATTGAAATATAATAGAATTTAGGACTTAATTAAAATAAAATATTAAGAATAGGACTTCACAAAAATGACAAGACTTAATGAATTTTTGTGAAAAAAAATAATACTTGTTAGTAATTGGTGTTAATATTATATAGAATAGGCTTGTTCTTTGCAGCTTTTCCATTGTGGTTAGAGCATAGCACTGGATTATGCTAAAATGCATAGATTTCCCAAGAATATATTCCAGGCAGCAATGTGATACCTACCGCGCTTTGAGCATGGGTATAGCAAACCAGGCTGTCCATTTATAGTGAAAGCGTCCGAGACATTTGGCTCACCTCCTGTCGCAAGCAATCCCTCGTAGACCTTCCTCACATCTTTTTTCCACCACTCTCCTAACAGTCAACAAAATCAACAACAAAAATTTCATCAAAATGGTGCAATGTTCTAGGGGCTGGAGTAGTTGATGTACCGAAAAGTTGGTTTGCAAAAATCTTTTGCTTGTCCAATAAAAGTATGACACGTGAATTTTATATTCATTTTCGCTAATCAGTATTTTAGATACCATTGCATTCTCGGGGTAGTACTTATACATCAATCTCTAGTTGTACTTTTACCTAATATGATGGGCACTTCTGCATGGGGCTTGGGAAAAGGGTAGGAAGTGCCAGTCTTGGGGTAGATTATAATGGCACCGTGGACGGTGGCGCGTGACCAGGTGCTATGAGCATGCCACCATAGAGTCCCCTCCTCGGCAGAAAATATGACTTTCTGGCTAAACTTATGGCCCGGTTTGATGGGGCACTGTGTGACGTATTCAGGACCATCTGACCATGGATACCTTTGTTGTTTCACTCCATGCCTGCAAGTTTCAAGTGTTAATTGTTGTTAGTGGTTTAACTATGCTATACATGCCATTCCCCATAGAGTAACCCGTGGATACTTTGACCCAAAAGAAAAACCGTGGATACCCGACAAAATAAACTCGGGAGTCAGCTCTTACAAAATAGATCTCGGAGACTATTAACTACTCACAAACTACTGGTATTGGTTAAGTCCAAGATTGAGAAACTGCACACCCCTGGTCTGTTCTTGTTTTCTATGTTATAGTGTTTTTATTTGGTTGACAAAAGAGAAACCGAATATGACAGCAGCACCCACAAAGGCCGAACATAGAGCACACTGTGACTACTTAGAAGATTAAGGATATGTGGTTGCTTACCAGTGAAGGGTGATGTTTTGTTTTGCTTTGTTGTGAACGTCAACAATTATTGTATCTCCTTTGTGAGCATACAGAGTTGGCCCAGGAAATTGTCCATTCACTGTCAAAATCTTCTTTGTTTTGCAGAGTCTTGTGTAGGGAGACTCTTTCACCTGCAATGCGAGGAAACACGTACACCCATAACCATGCAAGAATGTATAAAAGGGTATAAAAAATGGACAAAGCACAGTTATGGCTTAGAGACATGGCCTCATGTGTCTTTGAAAACCCTAAAGTTCTCCCCCCATTCAAGGGAGTGGCTTCCTCAATCTTTGATTTGCATAAAATCCTAGCTCTGTCTCCGTTATTAGAATGTAATGCAAATAGACATACATAAAATCAATGATTCGTTGAAAATCATATGAATATATTGTCGACGAATACCCTAAATCAAATGCTTTTTTATGATCATCAATCCATTGATAAGTTTCAATTACCAGGAGGGAATGCTTGTTTTTGGAAGAAAAGAAAAAATGATACTTACAAAAAACTTGTAGCGGTAATTCCAAGCTTCACAATTGACGAAGTCACCGATAGTAATGAAAACCATAACATAAAAGGAGAAAGCCTTCTTGCCGGACCACATTGTGAAGTAAAGGGAAACCTACTTTTTTTGATACCGCAAAGTGTCTAAAGAGCTGTTGAATTTATAGAGGTGAAAGAGCAAATGAATTAGGTGGGAAGTCAGATAATTCAATGCTAGTTACTGAAAATAGCATGCAATGAGTGTTGGCCTGACTACTTATTAAGATAAAGGAAGACCGACTTAAGCATCCTCCAGTTCTGTTCTGTGTTCTCTTGTTAAGTAAACCACTGTTAGGACTCCAACTGTAGATTGACCAACAAATGATAGACTCATAGACCAGAGGGATGGACCCATTTAACTAATCAGTAATTCTCGTGCCTATCTAACACAGATGTGCGATGCATAACTATTGGTTAAACTATATTGTAATTTCTCTCTTACATCAATCAATTTTTGTGAACTCCGTATGAACTCATGTATATNCTCATTTAACTAATCAGTGATTCTCGTGCCTATCTAACACAGATGTGCAATGCATAACTATTGGTTAAACTATATTATAATTTCTCTCTTACATCAATCAATTTTTGTGAACTCCGTATGAACTCATGTATATGTCATTAGCAGATGCTTGTAAAAGCAAATTCCTAATGTGTGCAAAATCAATATGTAAGGGAATTAATAGGGTATGACTGTCAGCTATTAATTCCATTGAATTACCTTAATTGTCAGTTCTTTCAAACTTGGAAATAACTTGGCCATAAAGTATGGCTAGCTTTCATTTACATTTGATTAGGGGTAGGGCTCTTAATCAAACCGAGCTACTTAAGCTCGACTCGTTTTTTGCCTCGTTCAAGTTCGGCTTGTTTAGAAAACAAGTCCTACATGCTNGCCATAAAGTATGGCTAGCTTTCATTTACATTTGATTAGGGGTAGGGCTGTTAATCAAACCGAGCTACTTAAGCTCAACTCGTTTTTTGCCTCGTTCAAGTTCGGCTTGTTTAGAAAACAAGTCCTACATGCTCAGTACGAACTTGACAAGATCGATTCGTTTTATGTGCAAATATTTGAGTTCGACTCGAGTTTGACTCGTTAAAACTCAATTAAGAAAATAAGTTTTTTAGGCGTAAATCGAATTCGTTTGACTATCAGCCCTAATTAAGGATTTGGAATTACTGAATGTTAATAATTATAATTACTGAATTGTAAATTTTTGTACCATTAACAAAATATTTAAGTATTTTTGNAAAAAATAAGTTTTTTAGGCGTAAATCGAATTCGTTTGACTATCAGCCCTAATTAAGGATTTGGAATTATTGAATGTTAATAATTATAATTACTGAATTGTAAATTTTTGTACCATTAACAAAATATTTAAGTATTTTTGTATCTTAGACACCTTTTTCATTTTTTTATGTTTTGTATTATTATCTTTTTAGTTCTTTGTATGTCCAAATCTGCTTACTTTTTTTCAAACTTAGTCACATGCATTTATATACATACTAACAATGTATGACGTGTGTTGCATGTAACTAAATTAAAATAATATTATGTTTATAGAAACAATAATTATATGTGTAATTAAATTAAATAATAAATTAGGTATCGAATAACTAATCGGTATTTTAATTATTGTTAAATTTAATTATTGATTTATTCTATAAGTTGATTTAGGTATCTTTCCGACTCTTTAGGCATTTGCACATCTAATTATATTATAGAATTATTAATTTTTATTTTGTTAAATAAATTGATTAGATCACTTATAATATTATTGCATACCAAATAATAAAATATAACATATATTTGACTATAAAATTTAACCTGATAACTATATGTGTATAATAATTTAACATATATAGAGTTTTAATTCTTCATATAGATATAGAAGATTGTATGTAACTGTATTACTAATAAATAAGTTCTTATAAAAGAATTTAAAACAAGTTAAAAGTTAGATAAGTGTAAAAAATAAAAATTAGATAAAAGTATATAGGTGAGTATAATTGACTTTATTATAATAATTAATGATAAAATAGGAAATTAAAATTTTTTTACATATGATGACATTTATACATAGTATAGATATAGATATAGATATAGATATTTTTATAAATGTATTATTTAAATACCAAGTTATATAGACCATTTCTTCAAATAATAATCAAACATGCTTATGTTTTTCGACAAAATTGTTGTTTTCTTTAAAAAAAAAAAANTGGTTTAGCATCGTTACACGCGTCCAAAACTCACATACAATTACATCTTTATTAAACAGATAATTAAAATGGATCTTAGTTTATAGAAAAAGTAAAAAGAACTTCACGCAGAAAAATTTATAGGATGAGTTTTACCATATATAGGAATTTAGTTACTCAAGTCAATGTACTTGCATATCCTTCAGTACAGTAGGTCTTTGTTGTTTCCAATGACAACTCACTCGCAATGAATTCAAATGGAAACCCCACTAACTTTCTCATCTGCCAATAATGTATCATTGTAGAAAAATATATTAAAAGGGATTTGAAATATGGTATTTCGTGTATCTCAGAAACTCCAATAAAGTCAATATGATTACTCAAGATTCTCAACATTAAGAAACAGGATGGAATTGGGGTTTGGGAGAAGATACACAATAGAGATGAGTGAAAGAATTTGGAAGAGCAGAAGCACATGAAGAGAGAGACAGAGTGAAATTGAGGTTTTGCTGCTTTGTGTATCCTTATAGCATAGGTCATCTTGGTATTCAGATGTGGCCACCATCAATGTACCATAGGAGATTTACACCTGAAAAAACACGATTGATGGAGATTTAAATTTGAGAAGATATTTACTTTAAATACACATATATTTAATACGTGTTGTATACAAAAACTATTTACGTGCAACGCACATGATGCATTGCTAATTTTCACATATTTATAATGTAAGCTACCTTAAACTTATTAGCTTAGGGCCCAATTGTGATTATAAGTTCAATTAGAGGTACAACTCGACTGGGTTAGGTGGTTGAAAGGTTAATCCTGATCAACCCAAATTATAAAGAGCAATGCTATTGAGACTTAATTTACTGACCTAATTTACTATAATCTTTTGATTGACTGTGGGCTCCACCAAACATTAGAACCTGGTGTTAATCCAATAGTTCTAATGAAACCACGTCATTAGGTCAGCAACTTATATCAGATTTTTAGGTCTAAATAACATTTTCCAATTATAAAATCCTCAATTCAATTCAATCCAAACCTTTCAATAAACACAAATTGTAAAACAATTACACTAAAATAAACAAAGACCACATTCAAAATTTTTCAAAAAATTAGAGGATCTTTTTTTATACTAAAAATTTGATTGGACTAAAATTGATTTACACACCAAATGAGGAACCTAGCCTAATTAAATATTCAACGAATTCAAAGCCTAGGCTGAGTTGGGCTTGGAGTGGTATTGTTATTTTGGGCAAGTCTGTCTCATCCGGGCCCAATAGAGAGTCCTACTTGCAACGTAAAGATAGCCACGCAACCAGTTCTTTGGGCTTTCTTGAAGCACAAGAAACACAACCAACCAGTTGTTGGGCTTTTTTGAAAGTTACACAAAATTTTTTCTTCAAAACGGATCTCATGTACTAGTTTCCTAATTCAAAGCCTTCGTCCCGAATAGTGCAACGGGTAATTTTCGTACAAGAATCATCCTGATCAATCACAATTCACAGCCGATTCTCTCTCTCTCTCTCTCTCAATTTCAGCAAGCAAGTTTTTGGAGATCGAAGGACAAAAAGTATGCGAATTGCGAATTGCGAATTGCGAATTGCGAATTGCGAATTGCGAAATTGAAAGACGATTCCTCGATTACGGATTGACGGTTTAGTAATCGAGTTCCTGTTCCTATTTCATTGAGTTTCGGCGAATTTCTCGTGAATTTATGTAAAGTATTGAACCAAGCGACGACGCCAGCCCAGATCGCAGATCCAGGTATTTTTCTCTCTGAACACCTCGCTCTGTCTCCCTCTCCCTCTCACTTCCACCTTTCTGTCTCCCTCTTTCTCTCCCTCTACTCTTTGTGCACACACACCACTGTCACCCACCTCCCTTTACTTCTCACCCTCCCCTCCCACAAAACTCAACCACAGAAACCTCCCCACAGCCACCACCGCCACTGCCCCTCTTTTTCCCCCTTTACTCTCTGCGCACACACATGGCACACTCCCACCTAGACGCACAACACATACAACACACACGCACCGGGCACACACACAGACACAGACACAGACACACACACACAGACACACACACACACTCTCACCCCGATATTGACACAGTCCACCAAGACTCACTGCCTAGCTCCTCCACCGCCCAGCACTAGCCCCTTCTCTTCATCCACTGCCACAATCTCAGAATTTTACCCTTTCCCAAATTAGAGCCACCAGCACCACATCCCAAAGGGTCCCTTTCCTCCACCAACTACACCCATCACATGTTTGATGAAATTTCGTGAGATTATGAAATTTGTGCATGAGATTTTGAAATTTCATAGTTGAATGCATAAAAGTGTGTATTTTACGAGAAATGGATTTCTAAAATATTCATCTGTTTTGTCCACACAACTCTTGATGGATGGGTTAAAACTCTATTTTGTTCTTTTTCATTAGCCTCTGGGGCTTTTGTTTTTGGAATTGCAGTGTGCGCCTACTTATTGGAGCAGCATTGTAAATTTTTCTTATAAAGCTACTTCTGATGTATGCTATCTGGACCATTCTTTATGCACTACTGACTTCAAACGCAAATTAGGTTATTTGTGGTTTAATATTGAAATTCACTTATTCTTTTGCCTTGATGAATGGCTGCATTGATAGTTTTGTATGTTATCTTTGATAATGCTCGACTAATGTTTCTTTGCCTGCTTAAAAACTTATTTATGTTGCAGCTAATAGGCATTTAATCACACAACCAGGCCTTTTCCCATATCCTACCTTTGATATGCAAAGATTATATATATGAATTTGCTACATTAGAAAAAAAGGTTAAGGATCTCCATTCTCGATGCTTTTTCTTTATGTGGACATAATAAATTATGAGTAGTTTTTCACATTTGTGCATGTAGTCGTTGCTTTCAGTTATGTTTTTTAAGTATCGGAAGTATTAAGGAAAAAGAGTATCATAGATCTGGCCAATATGAAATTACATCTATTTTGCTCTCTCTAAAATTCTATTCTCCCTACTGGAATTTCTCTGAGTTATTTTCTCTTTGTTAATTATCTGCAAGTTTTTTGCATTTGATTGAATAGTATTTTCAATTAAGCGATGATTTGTCTGATTGGTGTGTTTTGAAGTTAATTGGTTAGCCAATTGTTTTAGATTTAGGTGGTTGTTCGGAATTTCGTGCACTGTTTTGTTTTCTTAATTAATGATACTAATATGTCTTGGTTCAGAACTTGGTGCCCTGTTTGGTTGTACAAAATATTGGATGAAAGTGAGTTACATTTTTGTGTCTCATGCTCTATTTTGTTTTGGTTTTGGTTTTGTTGTTTTTGTTGAATTCTGATAAATATTGAATACTTTAAATGCATATATCCCTCTCTTTCTAATTTTTTTTTGTAATAGCCTGTGCGGGCGTTAGCTAGTATATACACACACACACACACATTGTATGCTGATTTGGGTGGGAACTGTGTAGTTGTGCACATGATGATGGTCGAAGATCTTGGTATTGAAGCTAAAGAAGCTGCAGTGCGCGAGGTCGCAAAGCTGTTGCCACTTCCGGAGCTTCTGCAATCCATTTCCTCAATCAAAGCCGATTACATTGCTCGCCAACAGGTTCATATTCAAAGTTCTATTGGTTAAATTTGTGCTTTAAATTCCAACGGATATGTAATAGTATTGCTTGGTCACATGTTTGAATTTCGTATGTTGAGCTGGGATAATGATCGCATGATTCACATTTCATATTCGCCACAGAGTTTATAACTAAAAACCTTGAAGAGAATATCTGGCTTCGAATTTAGAAATTGTGCACCATTTAGAATATTGTTCAACTTATTCTTAGAAAGTGTTTTTGTCTCTGGAGATAGAATAATTGAGCTAGAAATTAGCTATTTTTTATTTTAAGATTTTTTTCTACATTTTTTTTTGCTGGTAAGATTTTTTCTACTTACATTTGCGTGGTCAAAGTATTTTTTCTTTTTTCAACAGTAAAAGTTATTCATCGGATGGAACTATTTGTCTTCTTGAGAGCTTAACTTATTTCTAATTAGCTCAAGGCAACTCTGATGAAACTCTGATTGTTATGTGCCCATATCACAATGAAGATGTGAACATTGAAAGCTTTAGAAATGTGATCAAAATCTTTGATATGGCAATGCTGAATCGTGACTAATGCGAGGATATCACCTGATACTGGACATCTCGGCAAGCTCTTTGGTACATCAATCTTGTTATCAGGAAATTGCTTTCTTTTTGGACAAGAATTTATTTTGTTGATTAAATGGAATGGAAATAGCTTCCAACCAAAGTTCCTTAAGTGGATGTTTATATTTCTTTGGTATATACCTTGTATCTTGCCATCTTTTTTCGAGACTATACATATATATATATAGAAAAGTAAATAAAAGGGAGGAAGGTGGAATTATCTGGAATGTTTTCTCCAGAAATATCAGAGTGGATGGAGGTTCATTAACTGATGACCCTTGCTTTAATTAATAAAGTATTATCTCCAACATAAAAGTGGAAGTAGATAGCGCTCCTATGAAGGATTACAAGTATCAACTAGGAAGAAGTTATTCCATATTGGCGTTTTCAATGACACCCTTAATAATACCCTATCATCTTGGATTCTTTCCTCTTACACACTTAATAGTGGAGGTAAGGTGTTTCCAGTGTGAGCCTCTGAAATGGATGTTTGCGATCCTGCAGCTAGAGGACTTTGTGCCAGCCAGATGCCACCACAATTTGGAAAACTTGAGCTTACGCATGTCTGTCTCACTTCCTGAATGGTGTAAATGAAGTCAAATGTGGTTGATAAATGTATGGGCAGTTATCATGTTGTACATTGTTCACTAGGTGGCACTTTGACTTCAAGCATTCGTAGGCTATGCTTTAGCTAATAATGAACAGGCTATATTTTTTATTTGGTTCATTTGATCTTCAGCTTGATATAAGATGTACTTGATGGTAAAAATGCTAGTACAAGCATGCCATAAGATCATGACATAATTGATTTCGTCAATTATGTTCACAACTTCCATGGATTTGGAGGGCACTTTGGTTCTTTGATTTCTCATATTAATGGCATTCATTCAGTGTCTTAGATGTTTGAAAACCTCTAGATTATATACTGAACTTTGCGAATTGTTGTTTAATACCAGGCAAATGATGCACAGCTCAGTACGATGGTTGCTGAACAGGTCATCTGAAATATTGTAGTCCTAACTTATTTCTGTCGGCCTTTAGTGTTTTTTCTTTTCTATAAGCTATTGGATTTGAGGAAACTCGGGCTAGCTATTTCACATTTACATTTTGATCTATTTTTGGGGCTTAAATGGTTTCTTGGGTGGCAGGTTGAACAAGCTCAAGCTGGTCTAGAATCACTTTCCTTCTCTCAAAAGACAATAAACCAGCTTCGTGGGAACTTTGTTTCGATTGAGAAGTATGTTTTTGGTGTGACATTCCAAGTCAATACTATGCTTTTTCTTGTGGTTTCTATTATTTAATGTGCTATTCAGAAATGGTTAGTTATCTTTGCTGCTAACATGAGTGCCTTCCTTGTGAACAGGCTATGCCAAGAATGCCAAACATTAATTGAAAATCATGACCAGATAAAACTCCTTAGTAATGCGAGGAATAATTTAAACACCACTCTAAAGGTGATTGTAGTTTATTTTGTTTTTAATATAAACATTTCAAGCTTTTCAGTTAAATTTAATATGCACACATATATTCATTAATGAATATAAAAAGGTAAGACACAATGCACAAGACTCCTGCTTGTAGCGGGGTTTGGGTGAGGGAAGTGATAGACTGCCTTACTTTTATTTTAGGGAGGCTGATTTTTGGACTCATGATGAACACTTGCCATTGTTATAGGTTCGACCTCTATGTACGATAAATGAATGTGGACATAATTTTGTACGACTATGATTCATGCAGCAGAATGCTAATAGTAGCGGGTTCCCAATAACCTGCAGCAGAGGCTGGGGTGCCATTGGATCAGCACGCCTTTAGAATTTCTGTTGCCAAAAGTTCACTATTTTTCAGGAACAGCAGGCTTTTATAAAGTGTATAACCTACTTTCTAGGTTTCTTTGCTTTAAAATCCACCTAAGATCTTACTCTTTGTAGGATGTGGAGGGAATGATGTCAATTTCTGTCGAAGCTTCTGAAGCTCGTGATTCTTTGAGTGATGATAAGGAACTCATTAACACTTTCGAGGTAAATTCATTCTAGCTCACCAGTTTTTTCAAAGTTGATGATTCTCATATTTCACAAGTGCTTTAGTCTGTTATTTATATTGCTGCATTGGTCATAGAGGTTAACAGCTCTAGATGGAAAGCGGAGGTTTGCATTAGCTACTGCAGGATCTCACAAAGAAGAAGTTGGTAGACTAAGGTCAGGATCTACTACTCCTGTTTGTTATGGTGCTCATAATTCATATCAATCTCACTATCGGCCATGAGTTCCTTTAGTTGTTTGGAAGCTCTCTTTTGATGCATACTGATTTGAATTCTCAATTTTAGTGGTCTGCTAGGATCAGGAACAAATTTGTTGCCAAATCCTGCAATGTCATGCTGTTCACTCTTTTGTGCCACCCAGCTCTGAAAATTAACGCAGTTCACCTCTTTTGTGCCAACCAGTTATGAAAATTTTAAATCAGTTGACCTCTTTTGTGATACTCTGTTTTGAATGATAACTGTCTCAGCATCATTTTGGCTTTGGGCCAAAATCATTCTCCATTCAATAGACATCAATATTTATCTCAGATAAAATTAACAGGCGAAACCTGGGCACTTTTTAAAATTGGGTGAATGCACTTGTCTTAAAGATTAGTGCATGGCAGAGCTTGCAGACACAAATTGGATGTGTTCATGGTTATTTGGCACAGGTCTTGTGCTGGGAGGCTGTCTAACTTGTTATGTTGGATCTTAGTATCTTACTCATAAAAATTTTCTCAGGGAATATTTTGAAGATGTTGATCGCACTTGGGAGACATTTGAGAAGACATTATGGGATCATATTCGCAACTTCTTTAAACTTGCTAAAGAAAGGTAGAACTGTCTTTTATGAAGATGCCTTAACTGATGGGCTTCTGACTTATATTTTTATATTTTTGGTATTAATCATTTGTACAAACCATAGAGCTAAATTGTAGTATGATACTTGGGATGATCTGGATAAGCATTTTCGTGTTTTTACCCCGGATAGTAGAGTGTGATTGGCAGATGTTTCTATTGTGCATCTCTCAATAAACCTTCTTATATCTTACTAATGTCCTCTCTATGTTTTATGATCCTTATGATGCTTATTTGTCCTTGTGTACCTTTTTTGCAGCCCACAAACTCTTGTTCGTGCTTTGAGGTACGGTTGATTTGGGTGGTGGAGACTGTTGATTGTCTTTGGTAGCAAAGAGAGGGAGTTAGACATTCTGTTTTGTACTTTACATAAAAATGTGGTCTCAAAGTACTGGGAGAAGAAAAAGATAACATGTTATGCCAAAATGTTTGGTGTGATAATTTAACCTTGTGGGAAGGTGGGGTATGTGCTACAATGCATATGTCTTCTGTACAGGAGTGTGGCATTTTCCACAATGTGATATATTCTGCAATAAAATAATATATTCTTCTGTATGTGGTTTAATTATTCTATACGACCTAAGATCTAACAACTCTTATTTTTATTTTCCCCTGTATTTTCTTTTTAGGGTTGTTGAAATGCAAGAAATCCTTGATCAGCAACTTGCCGAGGAAGCAGCTGAGGCGGAGGGAAGTGGTGCAATGGCATCAATTACAAATCCTCGCAGAACTGCCAAGTATCTATCTTGATTTACTTTATTAGCTGTCCTTGTGCTGTGATTAATGTATCTATGACATATCTTTAAATTGTGTTGCACTTTTTTTTTCATACAAACTGCATGCGTCATTTTGTCAAATGCTAAAAAATTTTCTTCTGGTGTGTAGAAAATCTACAACCGCGACTGCATCTCCTAGAAATCTTGCACAGCAGAAGTTGAAAATTCAGGGTAAAGGCTACAAGGATAAATGTTATGAACAAATAAGGAAGTCTGTTGAAGAACGATTTAACAAATTGTTAATTGAGGTCTGTCTTTCACACTTTTCTTTTTCCTGTAGTGATTCGGCCTAATTTTTTTCTTTTCTTTTCTGGGAGCAAGTTTTCAGTTATTGCTACTATAGTTATTTTTGGTATCGTTAGCGTTCTAACAGTAAATTGGTATCAGCTTGGATTTGAAGATCTGAAAGCTGCTTTAGATGAGGCTCGAATGGTATACTTATCTCATCTTAATTCCTCCTCGCATTGTTTGGTTCCATTTTCCCCTGTAGCCTTCTCTTAGGGAACTCAAAATGAATGCATATTCTTTTATTTGATTGTTATTTTCTTTTCCCTCTCTTCCTCACATGTGATCTAGGGGNAAAAAAAAATAAAAAAAAAATATATATATATATATACCATTCTTTCTTAAAAGATAAAAAATGCATATTTTTTATTTTCCATTTTTTTTACTTTTTATCTTTCCTAGATAATAACTTGAACTTTTGGATCTAGAGTTAGATGGTTGTTCAATAGTGGGGGAGCCATCCAACAGATGCCAAAATCAGTAGGATCGGGGCGAGATGTGAGTACGTTTCAGAACAAGTACCGATTCATAAAGTTGAGTAACTATAATCCTCCTATATATATTCTATTGATTCTTAGGTACACACGAGTATCAATTAATAAAGTTATACCTTAGAAAGATGGATAAGAGGATTAGTGTCACTAAAGAGGTAGCGAAAGAAGGCTTCGAGGTTGAGGCTTTTGCGGTGGAAGAGATGAAGGTGTTTGAGCTCTTTGAGGATAGTTTCCATTGTAGACTCTGCATCCTCCTCCGTGGCTTTCTCCTCTCCCTGAACCTCCACCATGAACTTGTGCAATTGATTGACGGTCATGACTCCATTCTCCGAGTAACGGTCGAATATTGCTTTGATCTCCGCCGGTGCTTCAGCCACAGTTAGCTTGAACTTTCTTTGAAAACATAAGCACACTCGGTATGTTTGCTTCGACATGTTCGTTCTCACAGGAATGAGAAAGAGAGAGAGAGAGAGAGAAGAATGGTTATGGTCATCCACTACCATTCATTTCTCAGGGAATAGACGGGCTGGGTCAGGAGTGTCTTTTTGACTCATTTTTTTCCATTTCCAATTTAGAACTTTTCATTTTTGTCCATACATACATACTTTTATATATATATATTAACTATAGGTACCTCTTGTGATAATAGAGATGAGCCGTAAATTACAGATGTGTTGAATTCAAATTTTGATAATTTCTTGAGATCATATAATGAGAAATTTATCTGTTATGAATATTCTAGTCTCAACATAGATGATCTATTTTTGACTAAATTTGAGAGAAAATTAGTCGAAGTGCACGTAAATTGACTCAAATATCCCTCAACGTTAAACTAGGAAAAAAAAACTACAAATTTTAAAGAATAATTATGGTATACTTTTAGGTGGGAGGGATAACATTGCCTAAAACTTATTTTTGTGTTATAGATATAGAGTCTTATGTNGTCTCATTAATGAACTTTCAGATTGGTGAAGAGCTTGGTGATATATATGATTATGTGGCTCCTTGTTTTCCTCCAAGGTTTGATCGTCTTACATTGCTCCTTGTTCTCACTTTCTTCTTTGTTTTTGCAGTCAACTTTTACGGTCTAAAAAACTAACTGCTGTAGAACGAAGACTGTTACTATGTAAAGGATACCTCATTCATATTCATAATTAGGTAAAAGTAGCCCCAATAGGAGATAAATTAAGAAAGAATCTGAGTTAGGTGATTTGGACATATTCATTAAAAGCCTAATATTGTACCAGTGAGGAAGAATGGTATTATACCTACCGACGGTATGCGTAAAGTAGAGTTAGAATGAAATTAATTTTAGTTGAGATAGTAAAAGACATATATGATAGCCTATGGTAAGTGGGAAATATAACCATTGATAGTGCAAACTGGCAAAATAAGATTCGTGTGGCTAGTCCGGAATAGTTGGGATAAGGCTATTGTTAGTTTGACTTATTTTTCAAGATAGAATTAGCTTATTGCTCTTTAAATCTTTATTGTTACTGAATCCGTTGTTGCTTAGTGATATCTACATCTTAAATTGCTTAATTTTGAGGTGTTTTTACTCAATTCAACAAAGTTTGTCCCAACATTTCTGGGGTCAGTTATATTAATCTTGTTTCACCATTCTTCTCTATTAAGTGTCATTTAGGTGGCAACAATAAACTACATGCCAAAATACATGATTGTCTGGTGACTTTGTTGCCGTTTGTTAACTTAGTCCCTTAGGTGTTTCTACATTAATGGAATCCTGAAAAATAAGCTGAATNACATGCCAAAATACATGATTGTCTGGTGACTTTGTTGCCGTTTGTTAACTTAGTCCCTTAGGTGTTTCTACATTAATGGAATCCTGAAAAATAAGCTGAATATTTTTGCTATAACTGTTAGTGAGCTTGTATATTTTATGGTCATGTGATATATCTACACTGTCATCTTATTTAATAATGGATTTTTCAAGCCTGCGCTGATTTTCCTTTTTANGTTTCTACATTAATGGAATCCTGAAAAATAAGCTGAATATTTTTGCTATAACTGTTAGTGAGCTTGTATATTTTATGGTCATGTGATATATCTCCACTGTCATCTTATTTAATAATGGATTTTTCAAGCCTGCGCTGATTTTCCTTTTTTCTTTTGCTAGCTCCTGCTCTGGTCTTCCTGTCAAACTCATGACACAGTCTACCAGTTTTATAGTTATATATATTACATTGATAGTCTTCCTTTTTTGTTTAATTTAAGAATGTTGACTAAATCTTTTTGGTCCGCTATGTTGACCAACTCATTCAGTATCATGTTCTCTTAATTCCTGGACCTTTCATTTGTTGTCACGTTTAATGCAGTTCTATATACACCCACTAGAAATTACAAACNCCTGTCAAACTCATGACACAGTCTACCAGTTTTATAGTTATATATATTACATTGATACTAAATCTTTTTGGTCTGCTATGTTGACCAACTCATTCAGTATCATGTTCTCTTAATTCCTGGACCTTTCATTTGTTGTCACGTTTAATGCAGTTCCATATACACCCACTAGAAATTACAAAANGGTTTTTCAACTCTTCAATTCACCTGCTAACATTTGTATTCATTTTTTTTTTGTCTTTTCATGCGTATATCGTTATGTTATAACCCTTCCCAGTCCCCAACGTTTCTCTGATTGAAAGAATAGCAGGGTCCTTTGATCCTCCCAAACGTTTTACTCCTCTGAATAATATGTTTTGACATTATAAATGGAAATTAGGTGATTCGAACAATTTTTATTCAGATTCAGGCCTTTATGTGGAACTCATGGTCTCACCTTGCATGGTGATATTAGATACTGCAGAAATTTTACTTTTCCTTTTACTTACCTATTGAATAGTTTAGAAGTAATGAAGCAACAACTACTGTTTGGAGGTAGACTCATGCATAATGTATTCTGCCCCCACTTGTGGCTTAAGTAGTAACTACTGCCTGACTCAAAGGGGAGATGCATGGTTGAAGTTTCTGTTGGAAGATGTACATTATATATGTCTATGCTATATGATTTAATTATTTGCTCATATGACTTTTATGGCTTGAGTCTTTTGCTACTTGAATTTATGCTCATTCTTAAGGCTTTGTTCTTGGTATTAGTATAATTGTTTGGTTTCTTATATATCGGCTTTGTCAAGATAGGCTTAGCTTGCATTCGTTGTGACATTCAGTCTCATTAATGAACTTTCAGATTGGTGAAGAGCTTGGTGATATATATGATTATGTGGCTCCTTGTTTTCCTCCAAGGTTTGATCGTCTTACATTGCTCCTTGTTCTCACTTTCTTCTTTGTTTTTGCAGTCAACTTTTACGCTCTAAAAAACTAACTGCTGTAGAACGAAGACTGTTACTATGTAAAGGATACCTCATTCATATTCATAATTAGGTAAAAGTAGTCCCAATAGGAGATAAATTAAGAAAGAATCTGAGTTAGGTGATTTGGACATATTCATTAAAAGCCTAATATTGTACCAGTGAGGAAGAATGGTATTATACCTACCGACGGTATGCGTAAAGTAGAGTTAGAATGAAATTAATTTTAGTTGAGATAGTAAAAGACATATATGATAGCCTATGGTAAGTGGGAAATATAACCATTGATAGTGCAAACTGGCAAAATAAGATTCGTGTGGCTAGTCCGGAATAGTTGGGATAAGGCTATTGTTAGTTTGACTTATTTTTCAAGATAGAATTAGCTTATTGCTCTTTAAATCTTTATTGTTACTGAATCCGTTGTTGCTTAGTGATATCTACATCTTAAATTGCTTAATTTTGAGGTGTTTTTACTCAATTCAACAAAGTTTGTCCCAACATTTCTGGGGTCAGTTATATTAATCTTGTTTCACCATTCTTCTCTATTAAGTGTCATTTAGGTGGCAACAATAAACTACATGCCAAAATACATGATTGTCTGGTGACTTTGTTGCCGTTTGTTAACTTAGTCCCTTAGGTGTTTCTACATTAATGGAATCCTGAAAAATAAGCTGAATATTTTTGCTATAACTGTTAGTGAGCTTGTATATTTTATGGTCATGTGATATATCTCCACTGTCATCTTATTTAATAATGGATTTTTCAAGCCTGCGCTGATTTTCCTTTTTACTTTTGCTAGCTCCTGCTCTGGTCTTCCTGTCAAACTCATGACACAGTCTACCAGTTTTATAGTTATATATATTACATTGATACTAAATCTTTTTGGTCTGCTATGTTGACCAACTCATTCAGTATCATGTTCTCTTAATTCCTGGACCTTTCATTTGTTGTCACGTTTAATGCAGTTCCATATACACCCACTAGAAATTACAAAAAACCGGCCAGAACGATTTTAAACTATTTTACAATTTTGTTTCCATTTCCAGACATTTCAAATTCGGTCAGTGTATTTCTGAATATAGTAAATCTGTTACTTTGATAATGATGTAGAGACTGACATTTGAAACCTAGGCTAGATGTAGAACCAAATTTACAGAATTAAAATGATGTTCTGCATACTAATATTTTTGTCTAAAATTGTAAAATAAGATTACAGTTCTTGAAAAAGGTAAAATAAGATAGATTTAGCTGTAGGACTATAGTCTCTTCTTTGTTTGTAAGTCCTGTTCATCTTCATTGGTTAATATTTGGGTAGTAGACTAGTAGTGAGTAATTTTGTTTCTTCTTGCATATCTATTTACTAGGCTTTATTGAACTCAATTCTTTATATGCTCAATTTCAGTTTCAGAAGTTCCCAACTTTAGGATGTGGAATGAACCTCATGCTTTGTGCTTCATTTCAAACTGCAATAAAAGTTGAATGTCTAATGTTATATTACATTTTAGTTATGCAGTTTTCTATGAACAGTTTACTAGGTCCTAGACTTATAGGCCGTCCAATATATGACTTTGTTGTCATTTTGCGGAGACCATCTTGTTGTCACCTCTCAAAATTTGTTCTTCACTCAACAACATATTACCTCTTGTTAAAAAGGATTTTGTATTATAAGAAGATGAATTTATTTAATGCTCAGTCTTCTTGAAGTTAATGTTTTCATTCTCATAGCTGAAGTGATAGGAGTGTGGAAGCATCAGCCATCAAGGGGCTTTTTTTTTCTTTAATAACAAAGCAACTTAATTTNTTTTCAAGCCTGCGCTGATTTTCCTTTTTACTTTTGCTAGCTCCTGCTCTGGTCTTCCTGTCAAACTCATGACACAGTCTACCAGTTTTATAGTTATATATATTACATTGATACTAAATCTTTTTGGTCTGCTATGTTGACCAACTCATTCAGTATCATGTTCTCTTAATTCCTGGACCTTTCATTTGTTGTCACGTTTAATGCAGTTCCATATACACCCACTAGAAATTACAAAAAACCGGCCAGAACGATTTTAAACTATTTTACAATTTTGTTTCCATTTCCAGACATTTCAAATTCGGTCAGTGTATTTCTGAATATAGTAAATCTGTTACTTTGATAATGATGTAGAGACTGACATTTGAAACCTAGGCTAGATGTAGAACCAAATTTACAGAATTAAAATGATGTTCTGCATACTAATATTTTTGTCTAAAATTGTAAAATAAGATTACAGTTCTTGAAAAAGGTAAAATAAGATAGATTTAGCTGTAGGACTATAGTCTCTTCTTTGTTTGTAAGTCCTGTTCATCTTCATTGGTTAATATTTGGGTAGTAGACTAGTAGTGAGTAATTTTGTTTCTTCTTGCATATCTATTTACTAGGCTTTATTGAACTCAATTCTTTATATGCTCAATTTCAGTTTCAGAAGTTCCCAACTTTAGGATGTGGAATGAACCTCATGCTTTGTGCTTCATTTCAAACTGCAATAAAAGTTGAATGTCTAATGTTATATTACATTTTAGTTATGCAGTTTTCTATGAACAGTTTACTAGGTCCTAGACTTATAGGCCGTCCAATATATGACTTTGTTGTCATTTTGCGGAGACCATCTTGTTGTCACCTCTCAAAATTTGTTCTTCACTCAACAACATATTACCTCTTGTTAAAAAGGATTTTGTATTATAAGAAGATGAATTTATTTAATGCTCAGTCTTCTTGAAGTTAATGTTTTCATTCTCATAGCTGAAGTGATAGGAGTGTGGAAGCATCAACCAGCCATCAAGGGGCTTTTTTTTTCTTTAATAACAAAGCAACTTAATTTCTCTTAAATGCTTTGATTTGATGGTGACAAATTATACTGATGAACTAAAACCCTGTGAAGTCATGTCAGCACCTTATATCATTGGTCTATGAAGGCTTTAAAAACCTTATGAGATTTTGTGGAAATTTATGAACAAATTTGAGTTTATTCTGTATTGAGGGCTACCCAATGGGTGTGTGTTTCCCATCTGGTGTGGGGTTTAAAAACTCCTCTTCTAATGGAATGAGGAAAGGGTATATTGTCCCATGCATTTTCTTTTGCCATTGCCACTTTTGTGGTGGTTTGGTCTTGAAGTAGAGTTATTTGACTGTTGTGGATAAGCCAATTTTTCCTCAACAACCGCAACCTTTGTTAATCACTTCTGGGGAAAACAAAAAAGAAAGAAGAAGAAGACAAATTTTGTCAAGTGATCTGGTTCTAGTCTGGAAAATATTGCAACTGAAGGTAATTTTTTTCGGTGTGTATTTGGAATGGTACTGCTTTTTCAATCACCAACATTCAGTTCAACTGGCCACTTGCCAAATGCACTGTAGTACCCTCGTCTCTGTGCTTAAGCTTAGGAATTAAATTCAAGTTCTTGGTCATCTTACTTACCTACTAAAATTCCTCTAGAATATACTTGTCTGTGGTTGTTCACAAGGATGTTGACCCACTTTCCCATGTCTATGTTTGGAGGATTGGTTTGCCCTTTTGGGCATCTAGATTGAAATTCGTGCGTTAATTACATACAAATATCTGACTGTTATTTTGCATGGTGATAGATTCCTTAGGGTGTCAGTTGCACGTTTGCTCCTTTGATAATGGCTGTTGTTATTTAGCTCCACATTGGTATAGAATACCTGCCAAAATTTCCTGAAGAGCAACTAATTACTAGGTGATCAGATTGCATTTTTCAAAATTTGAAAATTGAATTTTGAAGAATTGTAATTTTACTAAAATGCAGTACCAATTTGATCAAAAGCAGTCAAATGATGCTAGCTTTTCCTGAAGAATACCAATTTGATCAAAATTCTGATCATTTAGCACCAAAATGAACGTGCCAAATATATGCTTGAGGATCTTACATAAGTAATAACAAACTTAGCCAGTGCACTTTTGAGGTGCCTTGGCACCAAAATGACAATGATGTGGTGCCCACAGGCTACTACGCCAAAGATATGCTTGAGGATCTTACATAAGTAAAAACAAACTTAGCCAGTGCACTTATGAGGTGCCAACTGATGACAAAGGGACAATCCAAAAAATCTCATCGTGTTGTATGTGCTTTTAATTTGCCTGAGTTGGAGTTGAATTTGGAGTATTTAATATCACAATGAATATTATTCATGGTCAACATGTTTTTACGAAAATCTGATCTTTATTCTTTTTTGTTTGATTTTTTTTTTTTTTTGCTCTCAGATACGAAATATTCCAGCTCATGGTTAATCTTTATACCGAGAGGTTTATTCAGTGGCTGAGACTGCTTAGTGATCGGGCTAACGATTTGACCAATATAGAGATTTTAAAGGTATGTGATTTGGATATTTTGTTGTTTCAATCTGGAATTATTTGAGTGTTGTGAGATGATTGAAACATGCCACTTCAGCAGAAGAGTAATTTTTCCAGTGGTTTGACCGTTACATCTTACCCGTAATACACACACACACACACACACACACACATATATATTTTTTTGGGAGGGGGGGTTCTAATCTTAGTTGCTATGTGGATGTNATTTTTCCAGTGGTTTGACCGTTACATCTTACCCGTAATACACACACACACACACATATATATTTTTTTGGGAGGGGGGGTTCTAATCTTAGTTGCTATGTGGATTTATGTTTATCTCTCTGGAAAGTTCATTGCAGACGTATTTTTCTGCATTGGAAAAAAGATGCATGTCTGTCATGCTCTTAACAGCTGTGTTCATTCCATTTAATTTCATGATTTATCCTGGTCGGCGAGATGTAAAAGCCCTATCNTTCTCTTAAATGCTTTGATTTGATGGTGACAAATTATACTGATGAACTAAAACCCTGTGAAGTCATGTCAGCACCTTATATCATTGGTCTATGAAGGCTTTAAAAACCTTATGAGATTTTGTGGAAATTTATGAACAAATTTGAGTTTATTCTGTATTGAGGGCTNTGTCATGCTCTTAACAGCTGTGTTCATTCCATTTAATTTCATGATTTATCCTGGTCGGGGAGATGNTGGAAAAAAGATGCATGTCTGTCATGCTCTTAACAGCTGTGTTCATTCCATTTAATTTCATGATTTATCCTGGTCGGCGAGATGTAAAAGCCCTATCTCTGTTACATAACAGTTCTATCAGGTCTTCCAAGGCTGGATAGTTATTATAACATACCATATGCATGGAATGATGACTTGAAAATCTACTTTTTATGTCAGGGGACACTAGAAAATATGTTCTTCATGTCTGATTGGCATCTCACCAAAGGCATTGAGACATCCAGCTCCTATGAAATTACATTATTGGAGGCAGTAGTCTAAAAGTAATTACACAATGAATAATAGATCATCCCAGTCATTCATTTTGAATGGGAACGGTTTTTCCAAGAGGAAAACATTCTTCTATTTGTGACGAGTTTTGTTTTTGTTCCATTTTGATTCTTTCCCTATATTGTCATGATTTCATGTTATACGTATTATTTTTTTATCTTTCCTTTTGCTTTCCCTTTCTTTGTTGTTATTGGTGCTTCTTTTCTACTAGTGCTTGTTGACTCCTAAATGCTTTATGCTAGTTATTGTTTTTCAATGGAATTAGGTAACTGGTTGGGTAGTTGAATACCAAGATAATCTGATTGGACTTGGGGTTGATGAGTCCTTAGCTCAAGTTTGTTCTGAGAGTGGTGCAATGGATCCCCTGATGAATTCATATGTGGAAAGAATGCAAGCCACGACAAGGGTAACAACATAATATTTGATGGTTTTTGTTGGATTATTATGTTATTATTGTTATTATCAAATTGCTCATATCTCCAATATTTCTGTGTAACAATTGCTTTTCGGTCATCCTGTTTTCTAGAAATGGTATTTGAATATACTTGAGGCAGATAAGGTGCAGCCGCCAAAGAAAACTGATGATGGAAAGTTATATACGCCAGCTGCTGTTGATTTATTTAGGATTCTTGGAGAGCAAGTGCAAATTGTACGAGAAAACAGCACTGAAGTCATGTTGTACAGAATTGCTTTGGCTGTCATTCAGGCAAGTTCAGCTTCATGGATTTTGCCTACATGTTCTTTTAGAAAAGGGAAGCCACCTTATTTCTCTAAGTTTCAGAAGATAGTTACTCCATGAGAAGCCACACTTCACTATGTCCAGGATATGCATCTCTACTTAGAAGGGATGAATATTCAACTGGTGATATTTAATTGTGTTTTTTGCTGTTTCCTCACAAAATATGCATTTTACTTGTTTGTAGCCATTTGTTTTTGACAAGAAACAAGATGTTTTATTAATGATTAAGAAATAAAAGTTAATCAGCAAAATTTTCTCTCCATCCCGCTACGATTGCAAAGAGTTGGATTCCTTTAAAATCCTTACAAACTAAAGCCCAAAATGTGGCCAAGAAATGAATAAGATCCCATAAACCATCCAAAGACTTCTATCGATCTTCAAAGATTCTTGTATTTCTTTCCTTCTAAATAACCCAAAAAGTAGCAATAATAGCATAATTCCAAAGAGTCACATCTTAATCGAACCTCTCAGAGCCTTTCATATCTTCAATAAAGAAGGATATAGATGATAAAGGAAGTACCCAACCCAAATCTGCCACTCGAAACAATTTATACCACATAACCAAAGCAACAAGGCAATGCAAAAATAAGTGATCTATACTTTTAAAATCATTTTTACACATCACACACCACTGTAGCAAAAAACTAGTATGAGGTTTTTTTTTTCTGAAGCACATCACAAGTGTTAAACTTTCCACATGTAACAGTCCATGCAAAAACTTGTACTTTAACAAGCACTTTAGCCTTCCATATCATCAAAGCAAGGCAAAAATAAGACAATAATATTGATTTAACGATGCATCAAAGAAGGATTTACAAGAAAATACACCAAACGATTCAAGCACCCCCCTTCTTTTATCACATTACGCACGATTCAACAAACAACTATTTAGGATATCAAGAAATGAAGTGAGATCCCCAATGTCTCGATCTCTTATATTCCTGCAGAATCCTAAATCCCAAGGGTATGGATGGTTAAAAAACTTTGACACAAAAGCAAAAGAAACACTTTGAGAATAAGCTAGTTGATAGACGTGGATCCATAAATGAAAAAGATAACTCCCCCACCCAAGCATCCTCTCAAAAATGGATTCTCTCCCCATTACCCATTACAAATCTCAACTCTTCGGAAAAACCTTGTCAAGCCCCAAAATACGAATTTTCATGGACAGCAAAAACTTATCCTCTCAACCCTATTAGTGTCCCATTTATTAGCTTGTAAACTACACTTGCTCTTAATAATTTAATGCTACAAAGAATTTGGTTCTAATGGAAACCTCCACAACCACTTACTCATTAATGCTATATTTCTTAACTTCAAATTACCAATAGAAAGACCTACTTTGTCCCTAGGACTAGAAAGTACCCTCCAGTTTATTAAATGATCTTTCCTACCCTCGCCATTAACCTCTCACAAAATCCCTCATCATTTTTTCTACCTTCAAAACAATTCTCCTTGGCATTTTAAATAAAGATAAAAAATATGACAAAATACTAGCTAGGACTGACTACACTAAAGTTGACTTGCCACCTCTTGAAATGAAAGCTCTTTTCCACCAAGCAACTTTTTTCCCACTCTTTCTACCACCGAATCTCAACAAGTTAGTGACAATGAATTCCCACCCAAAGGTAATCCTAAGTATTTTAAAGGTCATTTTCCTATCTTATATCCCGAGAGCCCTGCAATTCGATTGACCTTTTCAATACATGAGTTGATTCCCACTAGAACATTTTTATCCATGTTCACTTTCAAACCAGACACCAAACCAAAACATCCACAATATGCTTAAAATTTACTATTTTTTCTTTATTCCGTTCAGAGAAGAATATTGTATCATTAATGAGAGACCAAAATCCTCTCTCTCCCTACAATAAACCCTCTCACTAGATCACAACTCTTTGCCCTCCTAACTTACATGCTTAATCCAACCGCAACTAAAGTAAAAAAAAAATGAGATAATGGGTCACACTATCTCAAACCTCTAGATGCTTTAAATCTAAAATTCATAGAGTATAAACACCCCAGAATCCACCTCTAGATGCCTTAAATTCATAGGGTGACCCATTATCCCATTCCACGTGATCATATGCTTTCTCAAAATCAATCTTGAAAACAAAGCCCTCCCCACCTCTAGCTTTGTAATCTTCTACAATCTCATTAGCCAAAAGTGTTGCATCCAAAATTTGTCTATCCTTAACAAAAGCTCCTTGACACTCAGAAATGGTATCACTTAGAGGTTCTCTTAATCATATGGATAAAAATTTTGCAATAATTTTATAGAGACTGGACACCAAACTAATCGGTTTAAAATCCCTCATTTTCATTGATTTATCCTTTTTTGGTGTCAAACATATAAATGTGGCATTTGTAATTACATTAACTGCTCCACTTTGGAAAAATTCATTCAAAACTCTCATTAAATCCTCTTTGACAATATTCCAACAATCTTGATAAAGTGCCAAAGTAAAACCGTCAGGACCTAGTGCCTTATCTCTACCACAACAAAACACAAGTTTTCTCACTTCTTCCACCTCAATAGGCCCTCTCCTTTATAGGACTCCACTCAAAACCTTCTGATGTAGGTTTAAGGCTCCCAGAAGATGAATATAAATGATAAAAAAAACTCAATAATTTTACTCTCAATCATCATTTCATTTTCAATGATCACTCTATTATCCAACTCCAACTTATCAATAAATTTCTTATTTTTCTTACCATTTGCAATCCTATGAAAAGTTTAGAATTGTTGTCTCCCTTTTTTATCCCCTTCACCCTCTTGTTGCCTTCAACTAATTTTTTCTTTAAAGACCACCTCCTCAAGCTTATTCCTCAACTCTTTAATCTCCCTTCTTAAATTCTCATCTAAATTACCACTCTCCTCAATCTTATCAATCTCTCCAATCCTATTCATGATCAAATTTTTT